GGTCTGGGCCTCCCTTCTGAAGCTGCTGCCCCCGCGACCCGACCCCGGATAGGCGGAAGAAAATGGATGGATGGATGGATGGATGGATGGATCGATGGATGGGGACCATTGTCCAGACAAACAGCCTTGTGGGGACCACCGCCTGGTTCTCACAGGTACAGATGCTGATTTTGGGTGGGAGATGAGCTTGAGGGTAAGGGGTGGTGGTTAGGCTGTAGAAATAATTGAAAAATGAATGGAAGTCAATGCAAAGTCCCTGCGAGGATAGAAAAAACAATTTGTGTGTGTGTGTGTGTGTGTGTTTTTGCATGTGCATGTTCTACACTTAATCTGGCAGAGCAGAGTTGCTCTCACAAATTCTTTTATATTAAACTGTAATCTTCAATTCTCTTTAATCTACTGAATCCTCGACTGCTCCTCTTGCTTCCTTCAGCTCTTCATTTGAGTGTTTGTGTGTGTGCAAGTTTGTATGTGTGCATGTGTTCATTTTTGTCCCATGGCAACAAATTTATCTTTTTTATCTTCATATCCAATATTACCGCCCACATGTGGTTTATGAGCAGTTTTCAAGGAGTATTATTGTATTAGAGAGACACCTGGTGGCAGGTTTAGGCTAAATCCATTATGTGTTGTCATTTTTAGCAGAGCAAGGTTTTCATTATACACTGAAAATAAAACTCTTTAAATATGAAATGGTGGCATTTGTTGCTGCAACTCATTATCATTTCATGATCCTTTGTGTATAATCTACAAAACCCCACAAATATATTCTAATATAAAATAACATTAGAGGTTAGAGACGATACAAAAGCCATTCAAAGGCCAACTGTAGTTTGTATTTTAACAAGAAGACTACCGTTTTCAATTTAAATAGTGTTTATACATAATAGCACACCTAAAATTATTCATTTTATGAAATAAACAAAGCCAAAATCCCAGCAGGTATTTAAGGTACCGGTATGCTATTTTCTTGGTTGATCTAATTTTCTGAAAAAAAAAAAAAAAACATTTACACCCAAAGAAAAGAGCCACAGTGAAAATGGTAATTTCAGAGTAATGATCATGTTTCGTCCCTTCTCAGACAACCTTCCCACCCGCTGCTGAACTCCTTCGTTACTCACATGGGTCAAGGAGGTCATGGCCACTGGAAACCACCGTTGAGTTCTGTTTCTCGCTTCCCCAATCATAGTGAATGTGAAATAGGAGAGCTCACACAGACAGGTAATGAATCCAGATATTTTTAACCAGAACTCACTTTTAAGAATTAAATTTTAGATAGAATTAAGTGTAAACAAAAGCCAAACCTCCTTGTTTTCTTCTTGCAGGTGTGGTGCAACACCTTCGCAATGGACAGCTCCTCCACAATGCCTACAAACATCACAGTCTCCTCCCTATCAACTGGTCACCTCGACAGGTGTGGGTAGAGACTACCGGGAAAAGCCGTACTCTCCAAAGTGGTTTGGCTTTTCTCTACGGTTTCCTTCCAAACTTTGACTGGACCAAGCTAAGCGTTAATCATCAGTGGAGCACATTGTTCTGTGGATCGACGTGCGACTGCCCTGCCAGGAACAGATACTTGGAGGATGAGCAGAGACGGCAGTATCAGCTCCGATTGGCCAACGACAACCTCGATAAGACATACGCTGACATGGCGCGGACTTTGGGTCTTCCGACTCGCCAGCTTAGAGCTGCAAACCCTATAGACTCACTGTTGTGCCACCTTTGCCACGGCCTTCCTTTCCCATGCGTTCCTCCTGGAGACAGTGGCACTGGTGGATGCCTGACCATGGCACAATTTGCCGTCATCCGGCAGCAGCAGTTAGATGACGAGGCTGATCGGAGAAGAGTGGGTCTGTATCGTAAATATGCCACCCTTGCCATGTATCCCTACCTCAATCGAACTGCTGCCAAGATGGAACGGGTTGCCAAGGCCAGTGAGTCAGGCCGGCAGCCTCGTGTAGGAGGTGAGGAGGTCTTCTCCCTCTCTTCAGCCCACGATGTCACTATGGCTCCTTTGCTTAGTGCCCTTGGACTGGAAAATGCCAGGTTTCCACGGTTTGCAGCAAGAATAGTTTTTGAATTGTGGAAGAGTCCTGCTGTCGTTCAAGGCCAGGCAAAAAAAAGAGCAAAGAATGGTGAGAAGTCAAAATCAAGAGATGGGGATTTTTTCCTCAGAGTTCTGTATAATGGCGAGGATGTGACCTTTCATACCGCCTTCTGTCACTCCCATGACCGTTACATGAGCCAACCACTCTGTCCACTGGGAAACTTTCTGACCTTTGTCAGAAGAGACATGTTCAGTACTGTCAATGCCACTTCCTACAAAGAGGCCTGCTACAGGCCCTCAGGTTAACAAATGGCGATCAGGGTCACTGAATAAGGATGCACATTGGTCAAATGAGTGTGGTTTCTCATTTTGAGGAGACTTCAGACTTATGCTGCTCATTATGTCTTACATCTTTTGAAACTAATCCTCCACATTCCTGAGCTGTAATGAGTGGGAAGCAGGTTCAGTAATGTTTTTGAGATTGTGGAGTCTTGAGGTTCTAATCCAGTATAGCCTCAGCCCAATCAGCTCTTGAGTGTTGTTTTTCTAAGTGCATGTCTAATAGATGAACAACTCAAGGGAATTTGTATTGCACTTAGCCACTTTATTCCTGCATTCCGTAAAATAGCAAAATTGTAAACATTTTTTTTCATTCCCAAATATATTCCTGTAATACACTCCTTATCAAAATTTTAAGACTATTTGGAAAAAAGGCAAGAATCCACGTTTTGCACTCTCAGATTGTAAGAAGGTTCTAAGTGGAGTTTTAAAATGCAAAAAGAAAAAATCTGAGTAAGCATTTTATTGCAAATGAGTATTAAACTAAAGTAGGCTGTTCATCAGCTGATCAAAAGTTTAAGACCATATCTCAAAAAAAACTCCAAACTGCTCTAAAATAGAAATAAAATATGAAAAAAAGGACTCAGTATTGAGTAGCTGAGCCATTCTTGTTAATCACCTCAAAAATTGTCTCAGCATGCTTGATGCTAGTGTTTTCAGGAAGCTAAAGGAAATGTTGCTGCAAGTGATGAAGATAGCTTCATAGAGGGCATCCACTGTCTGGAACTGGTGTCCATTTTTGTAAACTTCACTTTCCATCCAACCCCAAATATTCTCAATTGTATTTAGATCAGGGAAACAGGCAGAATGGTCCAAAAGAGTGATGTTATTCTCTAGAAGAAGTCCTTTGTCAGGCGGGCATTGTTGAACTGCTGCATTGTCCTGTTGAAAAACCCAGTTATTACCACACAGACGATGGCCTTCAGTCATGAGGGATATACCCACTGCAACATCTCCACATAGCCAGCTGCTGTTTGATGCCTCTGCAAAACCTGAAGCTCCATTGAAGGAAAAAGCCCCCAGATCATGATGGTGCCCCCTCCTCTGTGTCGTGTAGAAAACAAGTGAGGAGGGATCTAATGTTGGTAGCCATCAGGACCGTTAAAGTGAATTTTTTTTCTCATCAAAGTATAAAACTTTCTTCCACCTTTCATTGTCTCATGTTTTATGCTCTTATGCAAACTCAAAATAAGCAATTGTGTGCCATTGAAGGAGACTTTGAAGACGTTTTTAGTTATTAAAACCCTTCCCTGGCAGATAATGTCTGATGGTTATGGGACTGCAGTTGGCGCCAATGATGAGCTCTGTTTGGGACAAGGATTGCCCTGTGTCTTGACGGACAGCCAATTGAATACTGGTGAAATATATATATTTTTTTGGTCTACCACTTGATGTTTTTTGTTCCATAATCCCTAGAATCTTTTAAAAATTTTAAAATAAAATGTCTGTCTTACTGTGTCCAACCTCAGCAGCAGTGACACGCTGCGAGAGGCCTTGTTTATGCAGCTCAGCAATCTGACCGTGTTCAAAGAGAGAAAGCTTTTTGCCTGTGCCATCAGGAGATTATGATACTGTAGATACCTGACAGAAAAAGACACAGAATCCACATTTTTGCCAAGAGTTTGACTCTTGTGCTAAACTTTTCATCAGCTGACCATCTTACTGGTTGTTTGCAATAAAATGGTAAATGGACTGAACTTATAGAGCACTTTATCAAGTCCCTCCGGACCCCGAAGCGCTTTACACTTACAGACATTCACCCATTCACACTCACATTCACACACTGATGATGCCAAACTACATTGCAGCCACAGCTGCACTGGGGCGCACTGACAGAGGCTGAGAGAATGCTTACTCATTTTTATTTTAACTTCTTTGGTCTCACTCCCATTTGTTATTTTTGCATTTCAAAGTTCTGCTTAGCAGCTTCTTAAGATCCAACAGTCAAAAATGTGACTTCTTGCCACTTTTCAAAGTTTGATCAGGATTGTATAAGAGAATGCTGAAATACTAACAACAAAAAGTAAAAGCAATTTTAGTGAAAATTCACATTGAGCTGGTTTTGGTCACATTGTTTAGAAAACCCATGAGTCGCTGTGTTTCTGTGGGTAAATGTTGCTCATTGAAGTAGGCTGTCTATTTAAACTGACACATTGATGTATTTTTTTATTCTTCTTGAAGATTGAATGCGGTACTTTGAAGATTTTTTTCCCCTCAACAAATTGTAATTAAACACATGTATTTATATTACCTGGTGCTAATACTTTGTTTTATTGAATCTAATAATTGTTCATTTTAAACAAACACTTGTATGCAATAAAATTAATTTTGGAAAATTTTAAATTGTTCTCATTTTATTGTTTGGTTGGGAATGTTTCTATGTGATATTTTGGCATAAATTCTCATTTATTGAATTCTTAAATTGAAAGTGATCAGCTTCTAAAAAAACAGTGACTAGGTATAAAAACACTAGTTTAAAAAGGCTTGATGTTTATTGCTTTCTGTCTGTTAATACAGGTAGTCATTTTAGCTAATTAATGCATCAGATAGTGTTCAGATAAGTTTATCAATTTGCGTACTTATTTTTTTTTTTTTACTGGTATCAGACATGTTAAGCTCTTCAGGTACCATCATTATGTCAGATATGGAAAAGTCTTAACCCTTAACCTTTGTTTCAGAGTATTCAGATGTGATGGTTTCATGCAATCTTTGCATATAGCAGCACCACATACACTGCAGTTTTCACTCCTTTTCTGTCCCAAAGTAAATAAAATACAAATTTGCCATAACTTAAATCAAATGTCTTTAATGTTTTTGCTTATTTTGTTGCTATCTGCTTCCATAGGCACCATTGAGTCAGCTTAAATATTCACGAGCACATCAGTTAACTTTCATGCACTCCAGTTTCAATGGTGTTTTGGAGTATTTTCCAGTCATTTCCACATGGAGCCAGGACTAATTTGCTTAAGCCACTCGTTTTTTTTCTGCCTTTGCTGTCACAGCCTTTTAGCTTCACCTGCTGCTTCTTTCCAGGTCACAAACAGTCCAGAATATAATAGTTAATAGCTTATTTAAAATTGTAAATAGATAATAATAGATTTCTTCAGTGAACTGCTGAGTCCTAAGTGATGTCAGTGGAACTGGGCCACAGTTTGAGAACAATGTTGGTCAACCGTGAAAACACTATGTGGAAGGATGGAATGGCCTATTACTTATTTTCTTATAATTTCTGAGTTTTTAATATTATAGTCATGTATAGTAATCAAATATGTTTGCTCCTTCATGTTTTCAAAAAAAAAAAAAAAAAAAAGAAGACGAATTCATGGCTTAATACCACTAGATGGCATATTAGTTCCACAATCCCTCTAAGCCAGTCTGACTCATTTTCATCAGTTATCCACTTTGTCAACATTGCTGCAGGGCCACAGAATGGAGTCGGTACATTGCTATAAATATAAAAACCTTAGTGCTTATTCCCCACTATTACACAAGCCATATGTCATTATTAGAGACAGAACAGAAGGCTGACAAGATATCTTTTGTACAGCTCATTTTCAAAAGTGCTTCAGCTCGCTCGACCTCCTGTTTTCCTGTTTCAGAATGCTCAGAATCAGGAATGTATTGACTGGAAGAATGCAATAACAAGCGCAGCTTGCTAAATTACATTTACTGTATATACGTAGATGTTCTATTTGGCCTGGCAGTGCAGGGCGATTTGCTAGCAAATAAATAGGGCACACAAATAATGTTGAGAACATTTATAAATGTCATCTGTTGGTAGTTTTCATTTTGCCATGGTTTAGCTGATGACAGCTGAGCCTTTTCCGAAGACAACTTTTGAAGTGTTTAAATTTGTAAAGCTCTTATTTTGAAGGTATTCTTGACACACTGAAATCCAATAGAAGCTGTTAATGGAACTCTATTATTTGACACAAGGCATCTTTAAACACTATATTGAACTTTTGAATTAATTTCATAATAAACAGATTTTTTAAAACCACATTTTATTTCCCCAAAGAATTCTAACATGAAATTTCAGCTCACAGCTTGAATAAAAGGTAATCCACATAAATCTATACAGATCTGGTCCAAAACTTTTACCCATTTACATCCAAAGGTTCTTCCAAGTCATTTTCTATTCTAAGCCATGATGTCAAGGTCATTAATGCAAGTAGCGAACTTTCTCCAGCCAGCCTGATTCTTCCATTCCTCCCCCTCTTGTCCTGCCGTCTCTCACCAACGCCTTTCCCTCCAGCCTCTCACACCCCTCCAACACTAACAGCTCTGATGTCATTCCCATCACAGCGAGGTGGAGCAGCAATTTCCTCCTGCCTCAACTTGCTCCAACTTTGATGTTGTTACGCCGCCTCCAGCTTGGACTTCTGCACCCGGGTCTCTCACTGCGTGTGAGTGCGCATGAGAATGCGAGGGTAAAGGCAGATCAAGGTGAATGCATCGAGAGCAGTTTCAAAGCTTGCGTGTTTGTGTCTACTCCTCAAATCATTGTCCGCTTGACCCAGAACGGTTGTGTAATCCAATGAAAGGACTTGTGAACATGCCCAGAATGACTGGCGTCAACCGCAAAAGAAAAAGCCAGGAATATACAGTATGTGTGCATTGTTTGGAAAGATGATGGCAGGAGAGATGACTGACGGACTCAAACAGCAGGAGGAATGCGCTGTGGTTAACACCAAGAAGACAGGAAGATGGAGAGAGGCAAACATTTGTGGTTAGGCTTAGACTACAACCTGGATTCAGCCATTGACTTTCTTTGTTGCAATAGCCATGGCTTAAAGTCCAAGATGAAAATGTTAAACTGATATTAAATTTCATGTAGTGACGGTGCTTTGGAGAAAAAAAATAATCAACAGCTACTCTGCTCTGGGTGAAAGAATGCTGAGTGGTGACCAGAGGGACCAGCTTGGGTTAAAGACAACGGGATGATGTAGAAAGTTGAAAGGCGGAAAGAAAGGTTTGTCGATTGTATGTTTCACTTGCCTATTTTTTTTGTGGATCCAACATGTTTCACCATTAATGCGTCTGCAGTAAGTCCCTGACCCAAGACAAATGCCCAATTTTTATTAGCCAAATCTGGCATCACAGAAATACCATATGGAATGTAGCGTCTTTCTATCCAACCAAGATAATCAAAGCTCTTTACTCTTACAATCTGTGTCCACATTTACCCATCCACACACACATTCAATCAGTACTCTATTATGTCTCCACAAAGCTAACAAAATCATTGTATGGAGCCTAATAACTGCTTTAAATCACATTCTTGCACTGATGGGACACAAACAGAGGCAGAGGGGGTTCAGTGTGTTGCCCAGGAACACTTCAACGTGACTAAATAGCGAGGGATGGAACCATCAACTCTCCAATTAGAGGACAACACCCTTAACCCCTCAGTCAGAGCCGTCCCAGTTATCTATAACTACACCTTATTTAGCCTTACCTAATGTTAATAAATGGTTAATCATGAAAAAAATCATTAAGGAGGATTCCTACTTCCTAAACTATAAATTAACACATTTATGTATGCTTTGCCCATAAAGACAAATTACTTACAAAACAGCATCCATTGTTTATTTGTGCCTAATAACGTTTGATATAACTATTCTATGTACTGTGTTTGTCTGTACAAGCTCATATAAATCTACATTCACACCATTGACTACTAATCCTGCAGTGCATCGTTAATTAAGGCAGTTGTTAAGTTTATTGGGAACCCTTCTAAAGTAAAGCCTCTTTATGCTTTCTTAAGTATTTGTAAATCATAGTCAATTCAAACATTCTCTAACCCAGAGGTGCCAAAACTAACCTGTCATCAGCTGTCCTGGTTATTAGGATGTAATCTCCTGTCATCCTATGTAAAAACTCTGCATTTCGGCACGACGGCTCAGTGGTTAGCACCGACGCCTCACAGCAAGAAGGTCCTGGGTTCGATCCCCGGTTCGGACCTGGGGTCTTTCTGTGCGGAGTTTGCATGTTCTCCTCGTGCTTGCGTGGGTTTTCTCCGGGTACTCCGGTTTCCCCCACAACACAAAAACCTGTACAATAGGTTGCCTTCAGGCCCAGGCCGCCCTTGAAAAAGAGATCTGAGATCTCAATGGGATTTGCCTGGTAAAATAACAGTAAATAAATAAAT